CCGGGTCGGGTATTCGACCCACAGTCAGCTATGTGGGAGTGTCCAACACCTTAACCACCACGCCACCTGCTGGTCCCAAAATTAGGGACCAGCAGGTGGCGTGGTGGTTAAAGCACTGGACATTCCCACATGGCTATCCAGGGTTTGAGTCCTGAATCTGGTGGCTTGCTTTCTCACTTTCTCTCTCACTCTCACCCTCTGTCTCTCTCTGGTCAAATTAAAAAAATCAATGAATGACTAAATTAAAAATAAAATAAATAGTTATAAAAAAATGAAATAATTAAAAAAAATTTTTTAAACCCTCCATTTACTGGGGTCAGCAAATGGTATAGATGTTAAGGCAGCTGGATCCCACGTGACTAACTGTGTCATTCAAGGCCTGGACCCAGCAGCTTGAAAAAAATCCTAAGCGTGTGTGCATGTTTGCCAAAAATACTGAGAGGAGAGTGGGAGAGAAGGCTTACAGGGTGGCCATCCTCCTGGGGCGATTCCTATCTCTCTCTCTCTTACTGTCCCCTTCCCTGAGGAACATAGCCCTGTAGCAAAAACAAAAACAAACGGACAAAATCTCATTTATTCGTAAAAATACAGACTATGTGGGGCCAGCAGGTGGCAGGTGGTTAAAGCACTGGATTCCATGCAACCAACCATTTGAGTCCTGGACCCGGAGGCTTGAAAGTCACGCTGGACACGTGTGCATGCCCCAAATCCCAGGAGGAGAATGGAGAAGGGATTGTGACATGACCATCCCCAGGGTGGGGGAGTGGTTTTTCACTCCCCTTCTCACTGTCTTTTTGTCTTTTTCTGGGGAGTGTACGTGTCCTGTGGCAAAAGCCTTTTAGAAATCCCACCCCCATGAGTAATTTGTTGGCTACTGGAATTACGTATAACCAGCAGTTCGCTATTTTAACTTTCTCCCCCCAAGCCTGTCCCGAGGGGAGGCACACAGATGAGCATGTGTGTGTCGTGTGTTGATGGGAGCCCAGGCTGCGCTGGGCCACGGAGGAGGGCGTGGCGCATACGGGAGGAGAGGCCACAGGGACAAGTAGGGAAGGGTAGGGAAGGTTGGCAGGGGGAGAGCAAAGGTGGGAGGCGGGCCAGAAGGTGGAGGTCTAGAAGCTGCAGCGCCGCGGTCTGCTGTTTCTGTGGCCAGGTCTCGGAGGGCCTTGTCTACCGAATTAAGGGTTTGGGGCTTCATTTGAACAGCGAGGAGAAAGAGGGTTCTCGAAGGTTTCCTCATTGGCCCCTCATCACGGGGTGCCGGCACCCCGCAAAGCACCTCCCCAGGCCATGGCTCTTGCCCAGCTGGAGCCGCAGGCCAGCTGTCAGCCCAGTTCCCAGCCCGGCTCCCCGAGGCTCCTCTGAACAGCGGCCACCTCGCTGCGCCACCACCGCCGGGCCCTGGAAGCACGGCAGGGAGGGGTGAGGGCCACCCTGGCGGGACCATAGGAGACCAGCCAGGCGCCAGCCGAGCGGCCGGGACAGATGTGGAGCAGCAGTGGCGGGGCCTCCGTCAGGGTTTGGTGACTGGGTGCCGGGGGAGTGAGGGGTGCAGCCCTGTCTGGTGCACAGGGGCCGTGCACAGGGAAGGGCTGTGGGGATGAAGAGAGCTGGGGGGGCGAGTGTGTGGCTGCTAGCCACGGCCCCGGGGCCTTCAGACCCCTCTGTCATTTCCCCGTGGGCTCTGTCCTGGCGTGAGGTTCAAAGGGGAGGAGTGTGCGAGGCGTCGCCATGCGGGGACATGCTTGCGGACGCCAACAGCACCTTCAGATAGCACGGGGCACTGATAGGCCTCAGGCCTGGCACAGAAAGGAGGCGAGGACCGATGTGCCTGGGGGAGCGGCTCCCTGACTGTCTCGTGATTGCGAGCGGACGTTCTCGTTCACGTTTCCCCACTAGATTGTTTAATCAGCTTCTTGGTTATGGTGCCTTTAACCGTGGACGTGGCCCAACCGGGGGCCTGTCCTGGTGTTTCTCAGCTTCAGTCTAGGACGCGAGCCATGTGGCCGGGTGTGTGGGGTCCAGCTGCCTCAACCACCAGGCCACATGCTGGCCCTGGATTTGAAAGAAAAATGTTCTATTTAGTTAATTAAATGAATGAATTCTATTTTAATTAATTTTTTAGCGGACCCATGTACTCACCAGAGACCGATGGAGAGGGAGAGGGGGAAACACCTCTCTGGGGAACGGCCTCGCCACAACCCTTTCTCTGTCCCCCCTCAGGGCTGCAGGCACGTGTGCACAGCCCGGTGAGTTTCTCAGGGTCTTGGCCACCAGCTGCCGGGACAGCCGTGTGGATTCCAACTGCCTTAACCACCAGGCCACTAGAAACGTTTTTCAATTGCTAGAAGATACTCGCCCGTGCCTGACACAGAGCGCCCCCAGTGGTGTGTGTTCACATCGTAGTCGGTCAGTTTATTTCTGCATGCCCGTAGGACTGGGACACACACACGCACACACACACTGGTGCCGGGGCCTGGGTGTGGACCAGTGTTTGCCACGCGGGATCTGGTCCCCACTGAACAGGAGGCTGCCCACGGAGCGCGTAAAGCCCCGGGTGAGGCACGCTTGCACTCGGAGCAGCGCTGCAGCAGTCTTACAAAGGGGAAGTCCGGTGTGCCGAGAGCCAGAGCTGGTGTACACACAGAGGCGAGCGGCCCGCCTTGGAGGTGAGGAGGCCGGCGAGCCACTTCCACGGTGGGAGCTGCCAGGCGGTCCTGGGCGGCTTGGAGGTGAGCAGGAGGGAGCCCGTCAGAGCACTGACTTCGAGTTGCTGAGTACATCAATTTCATTCCTTTCGACGTCGATGAAAATGACTGTCTTAACCCCGCGTTGTGAATGTTGCCTTTTTCGCGATGTATATAGTTTGTTTATCGGTGGACACTTTCACAACAGGATGTATGAAGCCGGGTCGGAGAGTAACACAGCTGTCGTGGCCGTGGGGACGCACACGATACACAAAATCCAGGAGGGGATCGGTGAGTCCTTCGTTCTCCTGCGCCTCTGTCTCGAGGCTCCTCGGCCAGGCACTCTCGCCCCTGCTTCCTCCACCATGTTCCCTGCCAGGGCTGCAGCCAGCCTGATGGCGCATGTCCACAGGACGACCCGAGGCGCTGAGGCTGGGAAGATTTTTCCATCCGTCAGTGCCCCACAGGGAATTAAACCTCGAGGCTGGTCCCTGCCAGCAGGGACATTCCTGATGACGATGGCCAGGTGCTTTGGGGGCAGTGGGAGCAAAAATTCGGAAAGAAACTCGGAACAGGTCTGAGCTGGAATCTTGCTCTCCCACCTAGAGAGTTGTGTGTCCTCGGGAGTGTCACTCCCTCTTTGCCGGGGGACACAGGGTGGCCTGCCGTACGGCGGTAAGAGCAGAGCAAGCTGGGGCCTGCTCACAGCAGCAACGTGGCGAGGCCAGACTGCGTCCGGAGCAGCCTGAGCAGGGCCGTAGGCACACCCCTGGGCCCTCGGAAACGGAGAGGGGATCGGGAGCTCAAGTTTGGGGTAGAGTTGCTCAGTAAGTGACTTTTTTTCTGGTCTTTAATTTCCAGATGCAAGCACTATTGAAGCCAACGAGGACATGGAAATCGCTTACCCCATAACCTGCGGGGAGAGCAAAGCCATCCTGCTCTGGAAGAAGTTTGTGTGTCCGGGGATAAATGTGAAGTGTGTCAAGGTAACTGTCCTCTTGCTGACTCCTTGTTTTTAGAGTGTCATCTGGGGCCCCTCCCTCCCACCATGGTACTGGTTTTGCTTTTGTAGCCAGTGTCTTGTGTTACGGCAGAAAAGACAAACACTTGGAGAAATGGGTCTGGAGGCAGCCCCCTGAGGTCAGGCGCCGTGAGAGTGGGAGCTGGCCTGGGGCCTCGACGGGGCTGGCGCAGGGTGGAGTGGGTGCCAGTGCCCTGTTCAATCCCTCTCTGCTCTTGACTAACTGGGTGACCTCGAGAAGTCACTCAGTATTTCAGAGCCTCTCACATGAAAGTGGGAGTAATACACACTGCAAGACTGCTGGAGTCAGCGGGGTAATACAGTTAGATGCCTTGGACTGGCATGCACTGTGGTAGGATTTATTGCAAATTTTTTAAACTTAATTTAAAATTTTATTTAACTTTATTAATTTTATTTATTTACTTATTTTAATTAAATAAAGAGGGACAGAGTGCTCACCAGAGACAGACAGAAAGAGGGAAAGTGCAAGCCACCAGGTCCAGTACTCAAACCGTGGTTGACCATGGGGGAGTCCAGCGCCCTTAACCTCCATGTTGCTTGCCGGCCCCATTATAAATTTCTTTGGAGGACCGGCAGGTGACATAGTGGTTAAAACACTGGACTCCCCCCTGGCTTATTG